TTACACACAGTGAATTTGCCGAGTCATTACGAGGTGGGATCATTAAAACTCGCTAATCACTAGACAGGTTTACATCGAGTAAATTGCCAAGTACCTAATCGCGTCGTTACTCATAAATGTCGCAATTTCTAAAAACTAGATCAAATTACCATAGCGAGAAACCCATCGAACCGCAAGAGGTTATTTCTTAAACAAACACAAACTCAAATGTTAAAAACAGCGGCCATCTTACAATTTCAAGTTCCTATCGCACGTTAGCGTCTGCAGATAACAGTTCTTTTTTTTAGTTATTAAACACCATTTTCTACTGTTAAAGTGAATATAATCAATAAATTTTTTGAAGATTGATTTTATTTTAAAGCAAATACGAATATACACATACAACATGCTAAACTTTAAACATTAACTACGTAAAACAAAAGGTTCATTTTAAAGACTTAAAACAAGCGTATGTACAGCATATCTTAGTCGATTGGAAGAAAATGTTTTTAGCATTGATTTTACAAAAGTCTCCTCTCTCATTAAGAAATAATTCCTGTATAGTGAATGGTTTTAAAGTACACCCAGGAACAATTATAAACGGTGCACAAAATTTTTCGTGTTTGTGGATATCACAGTCACAACATAGCACAAGATTGGCTAGATGACCTTAACAACACCGTCCGTGCAGCATCAGTCATGGAGTTCGTCTTTTGTTATTACAAATAGAAAGCATAGACAAAACACATATTTAGAACTAGATATATAAAAATATAATATAAAAAAAAACATGTGATACTGTCCATTACACACACCATCGATTTGAAATCAAATATTCTAATTTAAATCTCAATGATGTTATACACAAAGTCAACATTGTCCTTAATCTAGGTTTGCATCAACTCTTACGACTACCGTAGACGGCATAAAAACTGCTACTTCATGACTCTCACTTCTTGATAGAAGTAAGTTAATATCACAGAATTGTTTTAGGAGAGGCCATAAATCAAAGAAGAAGAAGAAGACAATATCAATCAACTCGAACGTTATCATCTGCTTTCGGGTGAAGCTTTCCAACGCGGCCACGCCCCAAAGGAGCGCCAGTAATCCTTATTTCCTTATCCTTACTAATATTATAAACGCGAAAGTTTGTATGTATAGATGGATGTTTGTTACTCTTTCACGCGAATACTACTGAATGGATTTTAATAAAACTTTACAATAATATAGCTTATACATCACAATAAGACAAGCTATAATTTATTACATATTTTTACGTATATCTGTCTTTCTGACTGAATGTTACGCGTTCAGCCTATTCTACGCAGACGTAGTCGCGGGCAGCAGCTAGTACAACATGATGTTATATCGAAGACCGGAGCTTCCCGTTTTGTATTGAGGAAGTGCAGTCGGACGAGCGCCACCCCAGCGTCCCGCTACACTGACGGCGCCTGCGTGAACATAGTAGCGATAGATCGATCCGGCGCGATGTAAAATCGAGGAAGGGCTTGTTTTATCCCGTTCTCATCAACGTGTAATTATGAAAAATTGTCGAAGTTACACTACTCTTGGAGCGTTTGGGGAAAAAAAATATATCATAAATGTACACATGCACCAAATAACTCGTATAAACTTCTGCGTACCATAGTATACAAACGCAAAAAATATTGTTTTCTTTGTGAATAAAACCTTAATCGAATACAAATTCAACAGCCATACATTTCCCCATAATCGTTGCTTCTGTATCGTTGTAGTTATTTCTAAACGCGTTTCGGGCCATCTTCAAAGCTGCGATTCGAACACCGATGGCTATGTCATGTTCTAATTAGTAACGAATAAGTTGTGCCTAGTGCAGAGCAGTAAATGCGCAGAGCATTCAGAAACACCACACAGCATATATTTTGTATATAGGAGAACAGAACTGTTACGATTCCTCGATTGATGTTTTGATGGTCATGGTCTTAGTTTTTTCAAAAGTGTTAAAACAGTTTTGAGGAACCAAATTTCGTTTTTAATTGTTACTCTGGAATAAAAGTAGGTTCTTATCCCGGAAAGTTCTACAAAAAAAAAGAAAAATGATAAAAATTCGGGCCCTTATTCAAGGCCAATAAAAGGGGCCCGGAGGGGTTACCTACTTAACGTACTGTTATAGGGGAATAATATAAAACAGTACGAACGCAAAATTTGAAGATGTTTCCGTGACCTTCTACCCTTGTACCGTCCGAAAAAATTGTCAAAATTATTGCTAAAAAAAATTATAACGTTAAACTTCGACAGTGTAGTGATAGAATGCAGAACGTTCATATGAGAATCGATATCGATTAAAATGCCACAGTTGAGACTTGTTCCTGCTAATTGTCATCATCATAATCAGTTGTATATTATTTAATGATAATGGGCTAGTGGCGGTATTAACATGCAACCGTTACCACAGACACTGACACCAGCATCATCATTAGTGAGCCCACTGCGCAAAATATCCATATGACAAAGAACGCCGGGACACCAAACCTGATAGCGAGTTTAAGATTTTAAATAGAAATAGAACCGTAAAGACAGTATTTACTAAGGTATCTTACCGCTTTTTTGTAAGAAAATGCAAATGCATAAAAACGATGTCTTTGAAAAAGGTGTTAACAGTTAAATTCTGTACGCTCTGAAACATCGAATGTTCTGTTGAGAACGGCAGTTCCACAGATTAAATTAAACCTACCCAGTACGATCGCGTACATATAAATCACTGGCGATTCTTCAGATACCGCTTGATGCGACTTAATTAAGTGTAATTTATTACAATTGTGAATAAGTTAAAATTGTACATTCACCAAGAGTAAAATGGGACATCCATTTTCTAACATATACAAATACGGTAACTAAGTTTTGAACGAGTATGTGTACAGTGGACATGAACGAACTAGTAGGTTCATTTTTTTGCGAGATTATTGTAGTTTTGAAAGAGTCAAGAATACAAAACTCATTATTCGCTTCGCAATGCATTCGTGCATGCAATCGTGGATATTTAATAAAAATAATTTCGTAAGCCTATATATGGACTATTCAACACGAGAACATTAGTGGGAACATTCTGTTTAAGCGTGATGAATAATAACTTCGCAACGAACCATAGAAACTCAAACAACAAATCGAAAATTCAATGAATAAACCATACCATTGATCTAGCCACGCTGTTTAATAACTAAACGCATAAATAAGCAACCCACATATGCAATTGCTGCGTCGTAATGCTAAAGTCTAATTGATCCCGAGCGGGGAACGCCTCGTGCGTGTACTGATTAAAATTTATTCATAATGTTGATGGCCACGACATAATTGAATGTGTTACATGTCGTGAATAGCACAGTGGGATTAGTCGCCACTCATCGCCAGCAGTGTCCACACCGAACGTAATTCGATTTCATTTTTTTAATGGGAAAAATTGGCAAACAAACTGGCGGTTCCCGGCCCCGGCTACCTCACTCACCAGACGAAACGCAGAAGTGTAACACTTCTAGTTTACGCCGGTCTTCTGTGAGGTCGCGGTAATTACCCGTACGGACCTGCCCATTTGTGCAACAGTGAACAGTTGCGTGGCCCTACCACAGAGAAAAATCTCCAAAAGAAAGCATACGGTTAGATACTTAAACGGTTCAAAAAAAAAATAAGGTAAAAACTACCAGCGGGTCCTTCATCAGAGTGCGTGGGATGAGCCCGACAGGTCAAAAAATAGTCGGTACTTACACCGATTGTACGCGAGTTTGATCGAACAGCCGCTGGTTCAGAGACTGCAGAGAAAACGCCTGTTTCTTAGCTTTTGAATTAGACATTTATACGACTATCAGGCACAGCTGTTAAATTTTTGGCTCCGACGATGGGAATCGTGGGTTCGATTCCAACACAGGGAAAGTATTTGTGCGGTAAAAATTTACTCTCATTTTTCCCTAACGCGCCTAAAGAAGTATAACTTCAAAAAAAATTATAAAAAATTCAGTGTGGCGTTTCTTAAATTATATTATATTAAAGAATTATCATTAAATACAGGATATGTTACGTTTTTGTGTCCTATAAATACACGATAGATAAGACTTTAACGTTAAATCTTGATTAACCGCCTCCATTGAACGCCGTTACAACACAGCACATTAGAGATGATGTTGAATTATTGCTTGAATATAAACGTAGGCGCTTTGGATTCCAACCTCAGAAACACCGGTTGCCCAACTTTACTAGATTTTTGAAAACATCGCCTACATAAATCCTGCCACATGCAGACCACACAAATACGACCTTTATCTTACCGGTTGACACATAATATTAAGTTGGCATACATGAGATAAGTGAAGTTTAAACAAACCCACTTAAAAGAATTACAGCGTTAACTTAAAAGCTAAAGAGATTTTTTTTGTGTTAATAATAATAATTCTCGTTTAACTTTTTCTGACAACTATGGCCATTATTTAAATTTTCACTAATACATTTTAATAATTAAATTTCCATAATAGTTCTCGGTTTGAGATAAACAATTTAGAGCAGCCCGTATTAATAGCTCACCTATAAGCGTGTGTAAATGTATCTTAAAAAAATGCATGCATAACCAAGAAAGTATCAATTTTCTTGGTTAATAAGTACCATTAAATATTAACTAAGCGAAAAATTATTTTTAGTGAATCAAAGCGTCATCTATGTTATAAATGAAATAAAAAAATTACATGACCGCTAGATGGCGATTTATTCTATCGTTAAATAAAAGGCGAACCTTGTATCTGACTAATTCACAAAAATACATAGCGCATGAAATAATCAGTTACATTATTAAATTTGACTTAATTTTCATTTTTTTATAGTGTTCCTAAACATATTTCCGGCATTTAATAGGCAATACTGTACATACTTATAAGACAGGCATGCCATTGGTCAATGCATGCTCGTGACGTCGTGCTGCGCAGCGCAGCTATTTTCGTTCGTGATAGGCGCCCGACATTTTGTTTTGACGTTGTGACGCAAGCCAAAACGGGATCTTGAAAATGCCATTGAACGCCGTGGGATGGACCACGGAAGAAGACGAAAAACTTGTTGAATTAGTACAACCTCAGACATGTTTATATAATTATTTCGATCCTTCAAGGAAGAACATTTTGGCTAGAGAATCTACTTGGCAAGAAATAGCTCAAACTTTATCTAAGCCAGGTAAGATCGTGCCGGGGATTGGTTCGCTTTGTGCTGCATGACACAACTGCAGAACGTATCTCATATTATTTGCGTCAAACAATGTTTTAGTTTTAATTTAAAATTAGATTAAAATATTTTAAAATTAGCGGGGTACTATTTAAGTATGAGATATAATTCAATTGATAATCGAGTGCATTAGGATATTTGTCAGTCGATTTAAGAAAATTATTTCTGATGTTTTGTTATACGATGGATAATTTATATAAGATGTATGAGATATGCAATGTAAATACATTTTTCATTATGAAATGTTTTATTTCAGAGATAACATTTATCTATTGACCTACTGTAAAAATAAAATTAGAACTATTCTAATGTCAGAAGTAACTATAGAAAATATTTAGTCTACAAAATAATTGATCCCATTAACAGTTATAATAATTAAAAACAAATATCTACAATTCCAGTTGAAGAATGCAAGAAACGCTGGCGTGGCCTCCGCGATGGTTTCATGAGAAGCATGCGTATGGGCACTATCCATAAAACAAAAGCTAACATCTTTGAGAAGCTACAATTCTTAGCTGGCACTATACTGGACAATACAGACGAAGTTGAAGAGGTGTCCATGAACATGGAAAATGATCAGATTCAAGAGGAAACTGTTGTAGGTACAGTTGTGGGATCGGAACAAGTTATTACTGACAATCAGGAATATTATGAAGTAAGTGCCCATTCCATGTCATTAGAGTAGTAAACAATTATTAAGGTTCAAGCTTTTGGTTGTTCGAAACATTTTTTTTAACTTCATAGTATAAGAAAACCTATAAGTTATGATTTATACCTTTTCAGCAAATAATATTGCTTGAATGTATGGATTATACTTTGTTTTATGTCAATCCCATACAATAGATTAAATCACTTTCTGTCCTAACACAACATAGGTGTCTTCAAGGCAAGAGTGAATTGGTTTCTACTAAGCTTGCGTGCTTACCATCAACGGCTGCATCGCCACTTACCATCGGGTGAGATAGCAGTCAAGTGCTAGCCAGTTTTAATGTATTAAATAATACTATCCATAGTCATAAAAATCCATAATGTATAAAATAATACTATCCTGATTTCATTGCAATTAGTTCCATATAATATAATGGAGAAAAAATCTTGTAATCAGTGACTAAGCTTTAATGACATTCTTGAACTATCTGAGTTCTATATAATTCACATTATCATTTCAACAGGTTTTAGTACAACTAATTTTTTTTTAATTTGGCGAATTACACTCATAAAGTACCAATTTCACACACAAAAGTATTAATATAGTAACAGAAAAAATAAGTGCTTTGAAATAATAAAACTTTTTTGAAAAGAGCAAAAAGTTCTATTTAAGTTTAATTAAAATTATGTTTAAAAATTAATTTTTTCCCTTTTCAGATTACTGTTGTAGATGGTCCACAAGAGCCACAGGCTAAGCAGAATGCATATATAAAAATTTTGCCAAAGATAGAGACTAGTTCTGGTGAACCACCAAAAAAAGTTAGTAGAAGAGGTGCTGGAAGAAAGAAAACCATACCTGCCCCAAGGAATGTCCCACCAGTAAAGATACTTCCCAAACCAATAATCATGAATGGACCTAAAACCTATGTGCGATACATAGAAGACCCAAAAACACCAGAACAGCGGTCACAAGTTATAGATAAGTTGATTGAAAAAGTGCTTAAAGAGAACACAAATGAAATTGATGTGTTCTTTAGGAGTATGGCAGCAAGTGTAAAAAAATTACAACCAAACTTAATTCCTAAAGTGAAAATGGAAGTTTGCAATGTAATTGCAAAATATGAAATGCAAAGTTTCGACAAGAATTTGCAAAATATGTAAACAAAAAATTTTATGCCTCTTGTGATAAAATCAATAAATACTTGTAAGGAAAATTTTTGAAATATCTTACCTAGGTTCTAGCTATAATTAATACACCATATATGGTCACATCAGGTTGAATTTCATCTTTTAGAGATAATAAATATATCATTGCAATATAAAAATTACTTTTTTAATTCTACTTCTTGGTTGAGATAATGTATTGACTTCCATGTTAAAACTATTATTCAAACTAGCACATAATTTTTTAAGATGCGACTAATGTTATTAATGTTAAACTCATAAGAATTCTTCCTTGTCATTATATGTAAAGAATTTACTTGTATATTTGTAAATAGATTTTTTCTAATTTTTAGACGTAACTTTAATTGATTGTTTTTATATTATGCTATTACGAGCAAACTATGAATGATATGGAATGTTCAAGATGTTGTCTTATGGTTAGGGTTCACATTAAATATTTGTGTAACTATAGTCATATTAAGTTACACAAAATTTAAATTATTTTACTACATAGTGCCAACTGATTTTTTATTCATTATCATATTTGGTATTCAATTTGTATTATGTACAAAAATATCCTACATTATCGATAATTTGTATATGTAACATTTTTCTAATTCTATGCATATAGAACTTGATATGTGAAATTATAAATAAGCAATATATTGATAATGTCATTTTAAACTTGTAGAGAAGTTGTGAAACCCTATAATGAAACTAAATATCATTACTGTGTTATATGTGTTATGTTTGGTATTATTTCGTGAGCTGGTGGTCCATCGTATGTTAAGTGATATCCGCCGCCCATGGAAAATTGCAACATCCATAGGGTTGCAGATGCATTGCAACCTATTTATAATACTTTGGTGACTCCGTGGCGCAGTCGTCAAGGTATTGGCTTCGGCGTCGGGGGTCGTGCGTTCGATTCCCACACGGGACAACTATTTGTGTGACCCACAGATAGTTGTTTCGCATCTGGGCGTTTATCCGCGTGAAATTTATGTATGTAAAACATCCTTGCAACACAAGATAATGTTATCCTAAAGTGAGGGCAATGTTTTAAAAAAAAACATGAATATGAGCCCTGGCTACCTCAATCACCAGACAAAATGCAGAAGTATAACACTTCTACTTCATGCTGATCTTCTGTGAGGTTGTGTTACTTCCCCATATAGACCTGCCGATTCATGCTATGAAGATTATTGCGTGGATCTACCACAGATGTATTATCGATCCCATTTATAATAAATTATTTAAAGTTATATGCCTGTGGACGATTCTAGAATAATTAATCTGCAATAAAAATTGTAATAAGTAAAAAAGGTAACAATTTTAATATTGTATTAAGAATACTGTTGTATTTTTCCTTAACTCTCCTTCATTAATATTTAATTATGCAATTGAAATAAATAATTTATGTTTCAATAATAAGAGTGGATAGAGAATTCACTGTTTTTTTATTACATCATCATCATCATCATCATCATTTCAGCCTGTTTGAGTCCACTGCTGAACATAGGCCTCTCCCATAGACTGCCACGAAGTACGATCCTGAGCCACCTGCATCCATCGACTTCCCGCACATTTGCACAGGTCGTCACTCCATCTAGTGGGGGGTCGTCCCACACTGCGATGGCCAGTACGAGGCTGCCACTCGAGAACCTTTCTTCCCCAACGGTTATAGGTTCTACGAGCTATATGGCCGGCCCATCGCCACTTCAGCTTGCTAATCCTCTGAGCTATGTCGGTCACCTTAGTTCTACTGCGGATGTCTTCGTTACGAACTCTATCACGCAGAGAAATACCGAGCATAGCCCGCTCCATAGCTCGCTGAGCGACTTTGAGCTTCCTCATACGGCCAGCAGTGAAGGACCATATCTCGGTTCCGTAGGTCATCACTGGCAACACACATTGATTGAAGACTTTAATCTTCAAACATTGAGGTATATTTGACGAGAAGATTTGCCGAAGTTTCCCGAACGCTGCCCATCCGAGTTGGATTCGCTGATTGACCTCTGCGTCAAAGTTGGACTTACCTAGCCGGACTAACTCTCCTAGGTAAATGTACTCGTCAAGGTAAATGTACTCGTCAACAACTTCGAGCTCAGTGATCCCAACAACAACCGGTATTGGCGTGACATGGACATTAGACATGATCTTCGTCTTGTCCATGTTCATCTTAAGGCCCACCCGTTGGGAGACACTGTTGAGGTCATTGAGCATAGTACTAAGGTCCTCCAGCGATTCTGCCATGATGACTATATCGTCGGCAAATCGGAGGTGGGTGATGTATTCGCCATTGATGTTAATACCTCGTCCTTTCCAGTCCAGAAGCTTGAAAACATCTTCCAACGCAGCGGTGAAGAGTTTCGGGAATATGACATCACCCTGTCTTACACCCTTCTGCAGTTGGATAGGTTTTGTACTACTGGACTGTACTTGGACGGACATCGTAGCCTTGTTATACAAAAACCTCAGCACCTCGATATACCGACAGTCAATTTGGCACCGCTGAACTTTTAAATCTACCTACTATATAGTAATGCAATCATTTTCAATATATATGACAAACACTAAAGTTGCAAAGTTTTTTGCATTGCCTATCTGGCGAATTACTGAATACTTAAGTATTATGACCTTATGTTATAGACAAATAATTGAAAAACTAAAATTATTAAAGAAATCGTTAATCATCATTGTGTTATGATGATAATGATTACTTTATTAAATAATAACAGCCAAATATACTATTTGTTACAAATCTACTATTCACTCTTCCGTCAGAAACATTTTGTAAAAACACACAGACATTTCGAACCCTTTTCAGCGTTCATGGTCACGGGACAGACTAAGTTGTATATAAAATATAAATAAATTATAAAATATAAATCGGGGATTTAAATAATAAACGTTGGGAATTTAAATCAACATAAAAAATGCGATAAAATCCGTATAGTAGTTTCATTTAATATGTTACTTTACTTTTATTGGTAATTAATTTTGTGCCTTCTAAGATATTAAAAGGTGTTTTGATTATATATTTGGGGCAGTTGGTACTTAAAATCATCCAACCATCTGATAATTAGTGTCGTATTTACTTGAATAAGATAATATATCAGGTTGCACTATTTCATGCCTCCGTAATACCGTTACCATTTTGAAAAATTTTGATCCACGAAAAGCATTTTTGGTACTAGTGATGGCTATGGCTATGGTATGAATAGCCATCGAAGAAGGACAAGTGATTTTGCCCTTAGACTGGTAAAATTAACTCTGACAACAACCAGTTATCAAGTTCAAAATCAGTGTAATATAAAAGAAACTGCCTTATATTTTTCGAGGAATAGGAATTTCGTTAGTGAGCTACCAGTAAAAATAGTAACTACTAATACTTTTTTTAATTCGACTGTTGAAGATTTTCCCTCCAAAGCGACAAATGTTTGGAATAGATGATTTATGAAGTAAAATTCATTAAACATTCGGTACTACACACTACAGACAGAGTTTATAGAAAGATATTTTTCTTACAAGTAAAATATTTCAGTAAGAATTTTAATTGCATTATCGATAAAAATATATTTCAGTAGCAACCTGCCCTGGCTTTGTACGGGTGCAATGCTAAATGTTTGTTTTCGACATCGCATTAGAAACCTCTAAAATTATCAGGGTTTCTCTACTATATTTACTGTATTCTCTACTATAAACCTTCCTCTTGAATCACTCTATCTATTAAAGAAAACAACATCAAAATCGACAGACAGACAGCTAGGAGACTTTATTCTGTACTATGTAGTGATTTCCCCGATCAATTCACATATCCCAACTATAATGCCGTTTACTCTACTCGGACGATACCACAGACCCCATCGGTAAATTAAAATTGATGCTTCCTCCCCCTAAAAGTATTATTGATTTGGCCATTGCAGAGCTAATACCATAAAGCATGTGCTCCCGATACTTGATCCATTTTATTTCATACGGGGCTTGGTATTTCTATCGACCCAACTGTTAACAATTCGGAATAAAACGGAAATCAATTTCGTGCGTTTAAACGAATTATCAATTTCAATTAATCTCAAATTCATTTTCAGCTTCGACAACAGTCAACCAAATCCATCAAACCAACCATGAAACAAATCAGCTTTTCCCCTCTTACAAGATGTGTACACAAATATTCAAATTACAATCTAAAAACATTGTTTTATCTTAACGAAATATAAGCATTGTTATTGAGGGTAATGTACCTTTTCATTAGTGAAGAATCGGTTTTACAGTACCCATATCTATTTTACATATGAACGAAGAAACAAGCTTAACCTGATTAAATTGTTAGTCAAGATAAGTGATACCGTTCATACGTGGTACATCTTTTAAACTCTTGGTGCATTTGCATAGCTTGTTGGTTGCGGTGCAGGGCAAACAAATATTTATCTGCTGGTCAGCTAATTGTCCCAAATCCGAATGTTTGTTTTTTTATTCTATTTGAGAAGGTGGCAAAAGAGCCAGCTTTTAACCTGAAGTCAATGATAACTGCCGCCTATGGACATTTGTAGCACCCTTAGGCTTGCAGATGCGTTGCCACCTATTAATGAAGTAGACGAAACGCAGAAGTATAACACTTCCACTTCACATCGATCTTATGTGAGATCGTGGTACTTCCCCGAATGACCTGCCCATTCGTGCAACAGCGAAGACGTGTCTCCATTCAATATAATACACATATATATTAAAACAATTTCATTCCAAAGCAAGGAAAGTTTCGAAAGGTAAAGTAAATAATAAGACTTTAAGGCACATTTTGATAACACCACAATATCATTAGCAAGGTTTCTTATTAAACACTTGTATTGCAGACGTTCATAATGAACCATAGTAAAAAAAAAAAACAATGTAATACTGTGACAATTTTAAAGAAACCCAAATTGCTACACCCCCTAAGATCTGATTGCAAGCATGGCGCGGGGTAATTAAGGAGCCTAAACACTAACAGGGTGGATACTAACAAAACTTTGTACCTCAATGTTCTGCATTACGTTAACCGAAGCGCGGTTTGTTGACGTCGGTCTTTGTTCGAAAATCATACCCTCTTTCGTTGTGAAGGCACGGGGACGCAGAATACGTCTTCCAACAAACAGTAATGCGGGGGTGTGGGAAAGCTAAGCAATACATATGTACAAGCGGACATTCGAAACTTGTAACGAAAGGTGCATTCCCGCGTTGAAATACCAGAATCATAATGACATTGGGATGTATTTCCCGCAACAATTTAAGGAAAATTATCTTACTTCTCTCACTCTGAGTTGCAAATCTCGACTCAAGATCGCAAATTCGAGATCTAACGAGAATAGAAATAACAATCTCATGAGATCTCGCAATTTTCGATATCTCGTATAGTTTTGAAAAAAATATTGTCAAATTCGGATGACTGAAAATTGGTTGCATTGAATATTTATACGTGTTGGTGAAATTTCTAAGTCTATTCCGTTATAGCGTAACGACCCATCCGGAGGTCGCGAGGGGTAGTTTATTAACGAGGGGGTGAAGCGTCTAGACAGGGTATGAACGCCCCGCTACCTGCAGCGTTGCCTCCGCCTTAGACGGGGTGGCGGACGACCTTCGTATATCCTTACGCGGGTTATTTCCCTTCGTCCGCAACTCCATATAGTAAGAAAACGATACGATCAAAACGAGCAATATCGACTTGCAAACTACAGTAATAATTATTTCTCATATTTACCGGAACATGACCACATAATTTAGGGTAAGTGGTTTTACAGATTTTAATCGGATCGCGTTATCTTTAAACAGAATAGACCATTGCCGTGGCAATGAATACTGCAAAGTATTAGAGTTTCAATTGATAACGTGCAATCATTTTTTAAACAAATAATTAGAATATTTATCAGAAAGTACAGCTCGTACTGTAGTATTGTATTGTTATAGTTTTCGTATATTTCATTATTTTGTAGTTTTGTTATAGAGTAGCTACAAATGAATTCCCATAGAGTTGGTAGCCAGTCCACATGCTTTCTGCTTTAGTAGTCAAAAACATGTAACCAAAATAATCAAAAACATTTCTACTCATAAGTAACGCCTGCACACCAATGTTTTCGTCAATGTAGATGTGTCTTCGTTTTTACAGTACATATAATATGTTTTTACATACACTGTAAAAAATATTATATATTGAAAAAAATATTATAAGTAATATTATAATCTTACTTGATGTGACATTTTTTCCGTATCGAATCAACTCCATATGAGACGAATTTCAATCGTTAAAAACGTCTGGTGACGAGACATAAAATTCGCTAATGTGTAAGACAGCGTGCTAACCAGAAATCGAAATCAAAAGCGGACTCGAGCGAACTCGAAGTCTTATTATAACTACCTACACCATTTAAAAGGATCGAAGACTTGTAACATGTTAGGCCATTATCGCCCTTAAGGAAAAAAAGTTTCGCGTCTCACATTCCCTAGGGCAGATATCGAGTGGCGCAAGCTACTATGCATTGTGTACGTTGGCTTGCACCACAATAACCGAGTGTACTTAACTTTACTTAGCAGCTCAACCCTAGCACAAGTGGCCGGATTGTAAGAGACCCAGCTTTGAAGGAATTGCAAAGCCAAAGCTAACGAGCCTCCCGCGACTTGGGAATAATAGTCGAGGCAGTATTTAATATCCAGATGTGCAAACTGTTTCTTTTTAAGGCACATGAGCTAATTATAAATATCACAATGGAGGCAAAGTTTGTTTGGTTAATTCTAAAATCAAATATTCCTATTTCTGTCATTTGAGTATAGAACAGAGCAAAGAAAGCCTAGCTGTAAAACAGATTAAAATAATCGTGTTTAATTTAAAATAAAAATCTTTAGAATTAACTTTCTATGCACGTGCTGGGCGTTGCAGGAAAATTTCGTGAGGAATAAGGAATTATATTAAGAGTCATTTAAAAAACATATTTCGAAGATATAAGTCTGCCTAGAGCCCTAGACGCTCTATGGTCTTCAAGGTTCACTGTGCAGAAGAGACCTCTGCCCAGCATTGGCATATTGGTGTATATTAGTTACATAGGCATCAACTTATTTATTTTTACTACCAACTACTTTAGTTATACTAAACAGACATTTAATATGTCATAATTAGAAAAGAAAGTGGAGTTATTATACTAAATATTGCACCACATTCGGGGTTGATGCATTTGCATTCATCTAAGATTTATGACTCCATGGTACAGTTGCCATTTTACTTACTGGCTTAGGCGCCGGGTGTGGTGGGTTCGACTCCCAGACGGAACAACTATTTGTGTGACCCACGGATTTGGATTGTATCACGTCCTTATAGCACAGGATAAATAGCACAGGATAAAGTTATCCTACAGTATCTTAGGCATGCAATGTTTAAAAAAAACTATCTATCGTACGCATCCAGTAAGAATTAATATCTGCTATTTCAAAAAGATTTCTTTACATCGACGTTTTCTACCAAAGAGTGCTGAAAAGATTCGTTATAACTTACCAAAAATGGTTTTTAAGTGTTCAATCTGTTTAAAATAGACAGTTTTTTGATTGGATTGGCAGATTTGACGTCCGCATGCCGAACATTAGCATATGGCCAATGTGCGCTGGTGGATCCCTCTCTCTGCACAACTTTTACCCCATCTTGAGTACCCTCACCATGTCTAATAGATCGGGTCACACAGACTGTGAGATGTTACCCACAATGCTGTCTCCGTCGTTAACACTTCAAACGCTTGCCTTTCGACTACGCAAGACAAACTATTAGCGCCATCCGTAGTTAAAATTCACCACAACTGAACACACGAGAAACATCAACCGCCTTAGGGCATTTGGGTAGAAATGAAGTTTTTTACCGCTGCCGAAATGGATGACCGGTAACGGACATGATAAGTGCGATTATGGGTTGATTCGATTACCAGAAATTGCTTCGGGCTATTAAAGCCCGCTCAATTGGCATCCGCGCCGCGTGTGAGTCACGTGGCGCCCGTGGTGAACCATAGTGGGGCACGTAATTGCGTGCGAGGGGCTGTTATATCATCGTGCGCGTTGTCCATACCTCAGAAGCATACGATAGTAACTCCACATTTTCCAAAACCATTGAAATCTCCAGAACAAATTCTACACAATAGTGTAAAGCATTACACTCACATAATGCTGTTTACCTCTGAGGTACAGTGTATTCGCGGAACCGTAAAAATGATATACGAAAAATGTGGAACCATGTTTTAGATAGTATCCTACCGGTCTGCGTTAAAAACAGGAGCCGTGATAGCTCAGTGTCCGGGCGCTCGCCTTTAATTCAATATACTCGAGCAACCTGAGTTCGATCCCCGGTGCCGGCACCAGTGAAATTGTCAATTTTAAGTGCTGAATTATCACGTGCTCAGCGGTGAAGGAAAACATCGTGAGGAAACCTGCATATTTTCGAAATAATAACAAAAAATATATATATTTCGAAAATATGTGAAGTCCGCCAATCCGCAGTGGGGCCGCGTGGTGGACTATGCCCTGATACCCTCTGTATAGAGGAGGCCTTTGCCCAGCAGTGGGACATGTATAGGCTGATACTTTACTTTATACTTTACTGCGTTAAAAACATTAATAGCTTTGTCACAATTACAACTCAGAAGTCCCGGTGCCAGTTAGCACCGACTATATTTTGATTACAACGGAGTATTTGCGTAAACAATTATTTAGTAAACATGCAAGTTTCCTCACGATGTTTTCCTTCATCGCTGAGCACGTGTAAAGTCGGCACTGGAAATTAACAATTTCATTGGTGCTTGCACCGGGATTTGAACAAAGGTTGCTCGATTATAGTTAATTAAAAGCGTGAGCTCGAAGTTAAGTTAAAACCATTGAGTCTGCAAACTGCTACCCGCCGATGAATGAGAGAAAGCTGTTTACCTTTTATTCTAGTTTTACACACTGGTTTGCATTTCTGTCAGGACGGTGAAGTTTAAATTGGGTTCTATAGACATGCGTGTAGTTTGTACTTATAACATTTAAGACACAATTTTTTACACGTATGTTCAGTAACAGATATGTTCTTTTTAAATTTATTAGATCGCCGTATTAATTTTTTGACGATTTCGTATGATGAAAAAGAAAAGAAAAAGCTCAGGGTCAAGAGAAAATGCTTTAATCCTTACTAATATTATAATAATTTCACGCAAAGACTACTGAATGGATTTTAATAAAACTTTACAATAATATAGCTTAGAATCAGTTTAAGACATAGGCTAATAATACATATTATATACATATTTCGTGTATATGTCTTTCTGTCTGAATGTTACGCCTTCGCCCTATTCTACGCAGACGTAGTCGCGGGCAGCAGCTAGTATGTCGATAATATTACTGGTAATCTTGGCAGCAGAGAAAAAAAAATTGTGATTAATTTTTAAACAGTATTGTAAAATGAAATTTGATCACTTATCTATTTCATTATTGTGACATTCTTTTTTGCATATCACTATACAATAGATATCCTAATACAATTAGATTTACATGTTATTGTACTTCTTGGCCGGGAGATGTTTTAGTGACGTCATGATTTCTTATTCTCTTCATATTACGTACAATAGCTCCAATATTTTCACGGCAATCACGATTTGTTAACGTTTAACGCGACAAAAAAAAAAACAATTTGGCAATTTAAAAATGGAACGCCGCCGCTCTGATAGAATCACGATTCGCGCGTAAAAAATCCGATGCCCACAAAGTCCACCTGCCGGCGTAATCGATTTAACTCGATTTAGTAATGATACGATTTCGCAACTCGCGGTAACAATCAAGCCGTCCGAAAGTTGCACGATACCGTGTCACAACACCGCTATCGACAATCGACATGAGACGGGGAGAACAATTTAAATTTCTGACCCACTTTGAATCGTAATTTGCTACAGCAATAGGCCGTACGGTGATGAAACTAAACATTTGATAAAAAGCCTAAGACAGTTTGGAAATGGTAAAAAATAACACCAAGTTGCCGAAGTGTAAAAGCACGTAAACAATTTTATTATTCCAGTAAGTAATTACACTGTATGTATACTTTATACGTATTACTGTGGTAGGGCCACGCAGCTATGCACGAATTGGCACAATCGGCCGGTCAAATACCACAGACTCGCATAAATCCAACCTGAAGAAGTAATGGGCCGCCCACTCTCTTAAAGACACGAACGCACTAGCTCCCCACATTCCCACATGAATATGTTTATTAAGAAAAACAAGCAACGCATGAGAATCTAGGAATTAAATGAGAATCTGCCAGTCGACAACAGGGTACGTTGTGAACTTTCCCTTATACTATCGGTAAAGAGATTGCTTTGGCCCAGCAGTAGTGAGTAGCATCAGGTTTTTATCGACGTAAATAATAACGAAGAACCTGGATACGAGTAGACCATTACAATTACAAACTTTTCTTATGATATGCCGGCGAACAGTATCAAATCAAAATCATTTATTCATACATAAGAAAAATACATTTGATTTACTAGATAGCGAGCATGCAAACGATAGCAAAAATCGGACAGCACAGAATATCTTGAATAACAGAACGTTGCTTGCCAAACTTTAAAGTGAAGAGCATTTATTCGGAACGAAACATTGGAAGGGTTCCAACTTAATCGTTAGAGGCATTTTTTGTCCTGACGGTATCCCTCTTGAGCAATAAATAAAATATAACTTGTATTTATTTTAAAAAATTAAAAAGTTGAAAAATGCTCAAGTGCGAGTCGGACTCGCGCATTGAGGGTTCCGTACCATTATCTATCTGAAAAAAATCATGTCTGTTGTATGAGAGCCCCGCTTAAACATTAACCCTTTGGTTACGGAACTCTAACTAATGAAAATATTTTGAAACCTATATAAATACAGGACCACTACATTGATAGCGCGTTTTGATCTGAATTAATTCCTAGGCAAGAATTATTTTCCGGCCATTTCTCGCATTCATTTGCCAGTAAAATATTCTTTTTCCGAGGAAATCTTTCAAATTCTAAAGCAAAGGCTTAGACTAATACATAGCTTGTCTCCTGATGCTTCTAAATTAAATACACGCCTAAGTTCTAATTTGTGAACACGATTGGTTAAATAAGCCAGGCTGGTAACGAAAGCTGACATCAACTGTTACGAAACGTATAAAAAAAATTGATAACTTTTAAGTATCTATATTTTATTCGCAGTATTGGATTTTTCTGTCAATTTAACATCATATAATTATTATTACATACTCCCTATCTGGTTTAATCGTTTTCAATAGATTCATCACATGTTAGTATAATCGTTTTTTCCCGATTGAGTGCACTTTTAGAAACATAATAAGTGTTATTATGGCATTCGTGACATTTTTTTCTTACCTTAATAATAGATTAGTTTTAATCAAAAATGGGTGTTGTCCACAAGGAATGAAATGAATGAATATTTGATGAATGAACTTGCCATCCTCAAAACATCGAAAGATTCTTTCTTCTCTTTCGTATCTCAAGTGCTTTAAGTGTTAGGTATCATCCTGTCCGTCGGCATGTGGTCATGTTTTTTTTCTTTCTGGTAAAAGCATTATAGTACCATTCATATTATTGTATTGTTCAGAGCATTAATATTATTGTACCTTTGCTGTACCCAAGACAATTTTAAATTAATTTATTTCTTCTCAACGATCGTCACCCTTGCTGGCACAGTCTAGATTAACAGTTCCTTTCACGATCTACTTACGTGTGTTTTATTCTGTTTTCATATCCCCCATCACAGCTGTGTAAAGATCAGAATTTCGCTACACTGTTGTCCTGAGAGCATCTAAATACGTCCTTCACATACCTGAGTGGTGTTGAAACGACGACTCCCAGAGCGGCTGAGGGTGCCACCCCTCACGTTGCTATCGGACAATTCCACCACCACACCATCGGACAATTCCACCACCACACCATCGGCGGCCCGTCGCCGCGACAACTCTGACAGCTCCGCGATGGGTTGCACCTGACAAGTTTTCATTCGTGTCTATGTGAATTGGGATCTCATACTGTAAACAAAACTAATTTCTTTAAATTAGTTTTGTGTACAATCATCATCATCATCACATCAGCCGTAGGCGTCCACTGCTAAACATAGGCCCATTGACTTCCACTTCGACCGGTCGGTAGCGGCTTGCATCCAACGCTATAATGTTTACAATATGAGATCAAAATTTAACCCTTTAAAACACCTTTGTTTTTCGGGTTCAATTTTGATTTTAACTCTCGACGTTTCGAAAACATCACAGTCCCGTGATCGTGGGACCCTGTTCAAAATGCGGGGAAATAAATAAAAAAAATCATTATGCAAAGTTTGGTATTATTGGAATTACAACTGCCATAATGATGGGATAAACCATTCAGTGAACCCGTTCACCGGATAACGGTACAACCTTTTTCCTCGTTAAAAGCGGCCTACACGCTGATTTATTCAACAAATAAAACTAATGACCCGTTGAAAACCAATCAATGTCTCTTTAAACTCAAACATTAAAAAAGAGCTCTGCGTAGAGTAAAAAAAAGTAACTTTCTCATTCGGCAGATATATTCAAAACTACACGAGATATTTTTATCTATGACGCGTATTTCGTCTCTCTAATTGCAAAGTACCACGATGTAAATGAAGCGAAAAAGTCAGACTGTTTAACGAGCTATTTATTATTGCGTGAAGACCACACAAAGGCTCAATGCGTCAACCGACTCTTTGTTGTTCTCGCCCTGAAGCACAGCTTAATTGGGTGGCAACATTCGCTTTTGATGCTCGTCACTAAAGTACTTCTGACTTATTGCTTCGTATACAGCACCGATATCCAGCTGACGTAGAAATATACCAAGTATATTAAGCGTAGAGCATTAAATTTATATGGCGCGGCAAAATTATCGGAGATCTCGAGTCGGAAATTGCAGCGTCGGGCGGCCACCAACGAGATGGACCAGTGACTTGACTAAGGACGCCCGACTTCGTGGATGCAGGCTTCTGGTAGATCGAAATGTAAATCCCTAGAGGAAGTCTATGTTCAGCAGTGGATAGGCTGAAATGACGGCGATGATGTTTATGATAATGATGATGATGATAAAATTTATATACATTAGAATATAACAAAGACTATGGACTACATAGATATGGATCAAAGTTGTTTCTCCATGTCTTTAATGGAGTAAAAGTTGTTTAAAAGTCGCAGCCATTCGTTGTTAAGATACAGCTTAGAATAACTCGTTACAATGCCGTTCCAGTAAATGCGTTTGCTTGCCCTGTTATGAATACGATCAACGATATTTTATAAGGTTTCGCCAATAAAACGATTTCTATTTCTAGTCGCCATTGAAGTATAATTATCTGTTCTACTAAATCTAAATACTACCTGCTCTATGACAAAGCAACATCAATTTCTATAACATATCCTGCTGTACAATAGGCCAGCTCGTCTTCTTTCCCGATCGAAAGAAGACCAATGAAAAGTAAAATAAATAAATAAATAATAAATAAATAAATATTTTAGGACACATTTTTACACAACATTTTCTAGTCCCAAACTAAGCGGGGGGGGGTATCTTCAAAAACTGATACCCTGTCACTTTACATGACAGGGTTATGTGCGGTTCTTACCTACTAAAACCCCCTCGGTGGCCGCCTTCTGACATTTGGAGGGACTCCGGGATCTCCCATGGAACGCACCGATGTCCCCGGTACTGGGGACGAACCTGAGCACGCCTCGGAGAAGGCAGGTAAAACCCTCGCCGATCCCCTCACCCTCATCAGCAACACGAGACCACTTCGTGCTGCTGCCCATCCGTGTCCCCTTTTAGTCGCCTTTTACGACAGGCAGGGGATACCTTAGCCCTATTGTATGAGCCCGGGACTACAGGGCTGTTGCATTTCTTCCCTAGCGTAACATCTCTGGTATGACTTATCACTCCAATGTGTTTATAGAAGGTGTGGTAGTCATTCACTTTTGGGTGAACCACCTGCTCAGCTGTCCCTCTTCTAAAATAAATAAAACTTATTACTCACCTTTATGGTAACGGAATCCTGGCTCCCCTTGATCAGGTCGATAACTTCTTCTCTGCTTTTCCCTTCGACATTCACCCCGTTCACCTCGATGAGCCTGTCACCAGGAAGCAGACCCGTCTCGCTCGCCCCGGGGTAAGAGCCGGGCTCGGCGAGAATGACAGCCTTGTGTGTTAGCTTGGAGATAATCATGACGTTGCCGTTGCATTTGCTGTCGCCATTTGTGAGACCGTTTTCTTCGTGAACACTCAGTTCTTTCAGATCACCGATGAATACTCTCTCTTGGACCATAGCACGTCGAAGGCTAAAGCCGAAGTCGTTGCGCGGTGCTTTCTGCCTCTGTATGGTTAGTGTTCTAGGTTTAGGCAACTGCAAAGGCTTTAGTGCGGGAAGCGGTAAGTACACGTCGTCGAAAGTGCTCGTCCGGGACCAACGGTGGAATCCCTGAGATTCGCCCACGGGCGAAGTGGAGAACGGCGGGGTGGCAAACGACGAGTTCGTGGTGGTGTCCGTCAGGGAATCCGCGCTTGGCGACGTCGAGGTCACGCCGAGGTAGCAGTTCCCATTTGTCTTTGGTACTTCGTCCACGTCCTGAGTGGTAATTGTGGGGTTGGAGTTGTTCTTATAGTTCTTATATTGACTTTCGACTGGACTGTGGATCACTTTTTTGGTGAAGTTCTGTATTTGCTGCATGTCGTCACTGGAGGAGGTGCTCTTAGACGGTGGGATGCCGTATGAGATCACTTCGTTCTGTTGCGTATTCCTCGCCACTACGTTCGTGTCCTGGCCGTTAACGAAGTCGACTGTGTCGGTATTGGGCACGCTGCTCTCTTGGGAGTTGGAGCTGGTGTTGCTAAGACGGGGCCCTTTAAGGATGCCACGTTTCGGTGGGCGCGGCGGTATCGGAGGTAGATTCTGCGCCTTCCGCGGACTGCTGTTTGCGTTGTTCGGATTGTTCAGCGAGTTCAGCGACGTCTCCGAACTGTCGGATTGTAGGACAGCCTCTTTCTTGTTCCAGTTGTTATGCGGTGTCGGATATCCGGGCGAGAGGTGGTTATTCTCGTCGCTGAGGTTAGAATTAGAGCCCGATGTCGAAATGACCTGATAGCTGGAGTAGTTCGAGTCATGCTCGAGGTGGGCGAACAGCGATGCAGTGTAATCGGCTGTGATGCCGGAGGGCAATTTCTCCTTCTCCTTTCGCCTACCCCGTAATTTGAGTGATCGTCGAACCTGAGAACAAAAACGTAATATTGAGTGAATTATATTTAAAGCTCTATTTCAATATACGCTTGATTGAACTTGACAATTATATTACGTAAACGGACCGAGGACTTATTATCAGCCAGTTGGCCAGTCATTATCAGTCAGCTGCGGTATTGAACGTAAAGCGAAAGCAATCAATCCAATTGCAAACGATTGCTCGACTAAGTAAATATGACAGACGGCTGACATGTTATCTGCGCCAGCATCTAGCTATCATGCAGCAGTAAAACAAATCCTGCCACAATAAGAATACGACTCAACTTGGCGCGGCCGTTTCCACTTTCGGTTTCAAAAGGCAAAGGCTGGGAGACAAACAGTTGTGGAAACGGTGATGAAAACCGACAGGCTCGTGCAGTCGCAATAAACCGCATTCCTTCAGAGCGTGCCGCGTCCGAGAATCCGTCTACACCAACGAAAGTGTAGGAGCGAATTATTCGGAACAGGTTCTTTGGGCATTATAGCACCCGTCGGGCGGTTCCGAACTTTTTGCGCAGTTAATGCGCATACCGATTTCGGTTTCTTCGACCGCGCATGTCTCGGAATTAATTTCGGCGGCGTTAACGGCTGCGCATCGAGAAATTAATATGTTAACTATGTAACTGTTAATTGAACAAGTTGATGAAGACGTAAGCACCTTGTTTTTGCTTCTTTACTTATGTGGCCATCGAATAAGGAAAACACATTTACGAGCGTATTAATTCTTATATCAAAATAACGACTGACATAGTATTTACTTGGTTGGATTCTGCACGCCCTTACCTTGCACGGGCAAAATGTTTAATAAAACTAGATAGCACAATTAAAATATTTTTTTTTACAATATAGGATCCAATGAGCTGAGCTCCATATTCGTTGAATTATTCCGATTCCTTATTAAACATCAGTCATTAGAAAGGAAGAAAGTAAAGATTATTTGGTACACAAATAAACGAAAATTGATTACAATAAAAATAAATACAATTTAAATGCACCAAATAGGTTTCCTCTCAACATCGAGTTTACGGAGTTAGCGTTAGAGTCATAACACATGAACATAGAGTAAATGCTTAATATTTTGTAAGATGTACAGTTACACGGGTTATTACCACGACCTCACAAAAGACCGGCGTCAAGTAGAAGTGTTACACTTCTGCTTTTCGTCTGTTGAATGAGGTAGCCGGGACCCACTTTATTAAAAGGTCAACGCATCTGCAACAATACGAGTGTTGCAAATGTCCTTGGGCGGCGGTTAACACTTAGCATCAGGCGAACAGCCAGCTAGTTTGCCACTTTGTCACATAAAAAAACTCTATCTTATTCGCCATTAATGAAGTTACAAAACAAAACTTTACCGCTTTAAAATAATACACCAACTATAGTTGACGTCTGTTAACTTACGACTACTACATCATAATATGGGAGTATAAATACTAAAGTATAATGTATACTGAAGTCAGTCCATGACAAAATAAATATAAATAGCTAAACTAAGTTTTCGGTGTAAAAAAAACTAAGTTTTAGTCGGGGAGTTTATCAGACCGGATTTTTTTTTTCATATTAGCTAAAATGCAGAAGTTGCTATTTACTTCGGGTTCTTATTGAATTGCCCATAATTGTATGGTGAATTATTATATCATAATTTACATTTTTTTCCAATTTTATCGCGTAACAATAAACGTTTTACAGCGGCAAATTATATTCGCCTCCGATTTTCGCCCGTTACGGACAACGGTAAATTTAAAGCAAAAGAGTACTGCCGTTTTCTAGGTGAAAATGTAATATCAGGCTATTAAAGTACGGAATAGTTTAATAGAATCATGATTTATAGATGTTTGTTAATATTTCAATAACCATTAAAATACAGTAACTATCATTGATTTGTATAATACTAGCGAACCGCCAGGGCTTCGCACGGGTGCAATGAATTATAGATATAAACCTTCTTCTTGAAACACTCTATCTAGTAAAAAAAACCTCACAAGATTCGTTGCGTAGTTTTAAAGATCTAAATATACATAGGGACAGACAGACAGCGGGAAGACTTTGTTTTATACTCTGTAGTGAAGATCCCTATGGAAGATGCTGACAGTTCACGCGACGTCAGCACACTCGTCCGCCCCGTCCGTCAGTTTTTATTCCAGCTCGTCAGTTAGTCACTCCAGTTAGTTCATCTCCAACGCCTTTCTCGCAAGCTCGTCTCTCATATTCAATTGTAATTCCTAATTCAAAATACATATGTCTAATTTAAAGTTAACTTCTTTTTTTTTTAATTTGAGTATACGAGTTCTCAAAGCACCTACAAAGCCTCAGGTAATTATTAAACATCACTGTGAATCGCCTGCTCGTTTCACATAAACAAAACATTTTTAAACTGCTCATAAACTATCTCGTGATTTTCTATTCCGTTCTATTTTCAGCGGCGAGATTTCGCTCGTCCAGCGCGAAATTCACTACGCACGGGCCGTGATTAAACGTTGTTCTAAGAAACCCACTGGTATTAACCGAATCAACAAATGATTCATTGAATGGAGAGATAATTTTTCATTCACCGCTTGTTTACGCTCTAGTAATTAAGTAATGAAAAGTCGGCGGAGTGAAAGGGGAACGAGCAAACCACAGTTTGTTCCCATAGTTTGCGGTTACGGAGTTTTACTTAAATGAACATATTGCAACGAAGCGTGTCAAGAGCACGGTGATGAGAAAATAATTATAAAACAAAATAATCATAAAAATTAATTATAGAGTAGGGCAGTAGCCCAACGGTGTACTTGTATGGGCTGTTACTTAATTCATTAACTGTGGTCAACTGGACAGATTGAATGGTCTCCAGAATCAGCACCGTCGGGCTACTACTAGTTCCGGTACTGTTTTTGGACGGGAATACCTTCCCTTCAAATCAGTTAATCTAATATTAGTTGGAACAGTTTCGCCAGCAAAGATATTTTTATGAGCGTGGAATACAATCTCCCGTACTAAAGATGGCAAATGGTATTGGACCAAAATGGAGAATATATAATTAAATAAAATGTTTATACACTTAAAAAAAATGTGTTTCCTTTTCACAAAAAAAAAACGAAATGACCCCGAACAACCCAATAATAAAAAATATTTCGAAGATATGTAAAGAACGCCATGCAGGACAATGCCCTAATAACGTCTGTACAGATAAGGTCTTTGCCCAGCATTAGGCTATATAATTAATATTGCAGGTAATATTAATTATAAAGGTTTTTACTCTCGTAGGGCCACAGCAGCTTCCCGTTTCGTCTGGTCAGTGAGTTAACCAGGTCCCACTTTATCAAACACTGACAACACATCTGTAACTTACCGGGTGCTGTAGATATCCATCCCAAATTAATAACTAATAAGTTAACTGTTTGTGTTATCTGTTTGAAATAATGGAGAACTCGGAAGACGTAAAGACTGTATATTGATAATAATCAATCGTTTGTTTAAATATTTTTACAAACAATAATGTATAAACCAACAATTAATGCACCGTCTCCATTATTCTGTCCCGTAATTCGCGTTAAAGACGCACACGCAGAACATTAGCACACAAGATATGGTCACATTATAAAACTGTTTAAAACATTTTTGTAACGTTAATCTAAACCAACGATGACCGCATTAGTAGCCGTTTGCGAAATTCGCTTCGAAAAAGGGCAGGAATCTACGACCAAACGGAACAAGCACAAAAAAAACTCGAATCTAAATGTAACCTCTTTATTCGGAGCTTACCAAAGATACATTTATAAAACAACTGTGGTAGGGCCACGCAACAGCCTTGGCTGATGCACGAAGCAGCAGGCTCGTCCGGGTAAGTACGAAGACCTAACAGAACACCGGCGGAAAGTGGAAGTATGACAAATACTTTCGCGTTTCGTATGGTGAGTGAGGTAGCCGGAGCCCAATCTTCAAAAGGTTGTCAACGCATCTGTAACCCTCGGGTGTAGGAAATGTCCATGGGCAGCGGTATTCACTTAAGATCGGGTGAACCGCCTGCTCATCTGGCAACGTTTAACATAAAATAAAAAAAATAAATAAAAAAAAAAACATTACCAGAGCGCTGAACGCGATCCCGATCACGCGCACGGTCCTCGTGGATTCCAATTTCCATGAATCGACCATCGCTCGGGACGACGTCAACCGTCAGGTCGGCAACTAGATCCTACAGCGTACTAATCGGGTAGTATCGCTTGCACTCAATGCGCTCATATTTACAAACACTAATGGGACAATGATACAAACAAAGAGACAACAATAGATAAGAAGCGAGTACGGTCTTCTTCGCTAGCCTGAATGACTCGGGGACACGTTTAAACAAACCGCTCGGATCGTGTCGACGCGGGTTTGTTTGCATATTAAAGAAATAAATATCTAAATCAAATGTTAAACCGAATTTTTTAGCATCGAAGAAGTGAATAGTGAAATGAAACCATGCGTGTATGAATTTGGAAGACGCAAAGTTGTGAAAGGTACGCGAATTTCTACTCTATAAGGTGTAACAGGCGTGGTTATTTATAAATATTCAGACACAGCGTCCATTTCATAATTATGAAAGTATATTATGTTATAAGAAATTAAATACTTTATCAGTGTTTTGTTTTCGTTATATGGCTCAAAAGGTTACTGCAGACGCTTGGGGTAAGCACAATTGTATGGATTTATTTTTTTTGTTTATGAAACTGGCAGCCAAGCGGATAGTTCGTATGACACGCGAGACATCTTCAAGACACGCGAGTTCGCAGATGCATTGGAAACCTTTAAAAGAGTTACTCCGGTTAGCTCACTTATTTTATGGTAAAAAAGCGGCAAGCGAACAGTAGGCTCACCTGATGGTAAGTGATCACCGCCGCCCATGGACACCTGTAACACCAGAGGGCTTACAAATGCGTTGCAGGCCTTTTAGGAAAGAGTATGAGTTCTTAAAGGTTCCCAGGTCGTAACGGTTCGGTAAGACCGCCGGCGGCAGTTGGTTCCACAGA